GGGGGGGCGGAACCCACTGCGTCCACGCATATACTTTACAATGCGAAGCGAGGAAATTAAAATAAATAAAAAAATTTTTTAAATTTTAACAAGTGATACATCTCGAAAACTATTGGTCGGAATTTTTTTTTACTATTTTTCCCGTGTTCCTCGTCAAAAATGTCTTCAGAAACGACCTTTCAAATAGGGGGCCACAGTTATCGTAATCGTGCCAATATTTCAATACCGTGAATAAATGCATTTTTTTTTTTTTGTTTTTGTTACACGGATAAGAAAAGCTTTATTGAATCTTGCAGTGAATTTTTCTCGAGCGATATAAATGAAAAGATGAAGAGATGCGCAATATGTGTAGTATAAACAGTAAAAGTGACAAGTAAAGAGCGAGCTATCAAATAAAGCTTTATTTCTCGTAGCAGAATAGGTATTCAGTATTGTTTAGCACCTGAGAAAATTAATTTTCGTGACATTGAAACTCTTACAGGACTTCTATTTACTACAATGGGGAATTATCTCTGCTGATGCAATGTAATCACATTTCATACTAATTATAATTTATTTGCGGTGCTAACGAGTATGTGACGCCATAAAATTTATGACGTAGACTGCGTCACACATTTGAGTATAGAATATATATAAAAATGTAACATTACTTATTATTTATCTTTCTCAAAATTATATTTCCAATTTCATAATAATAAAATTGAAAATTGTCTTGACTTTTGTATCATTTTTTTTTCCTGAATATTCTGATACTCTATACTCTATACATATTATCGAATTTTCTTTATGTCGACTTCAATTCATATATCCGAACAAATTTATCAAAATAAATTGCGAGCGCACGAATTAGACAACTTTATGAAAAATTAACAGAGAAATATAACGCAAACATAAAAAAGAATATAAAGAATACCGTCGAAACTGATGCGATATTAAAGTAGAATTAAATATGATGCCATTAAAATATTATTTAGATCAATAATTATTAAAAGAATATTTATAATTTTATTAATTTTATCACTGAAATATCAATGATATATTTACTCGATGCTCTCAACTACATTATTTGATTTCATTAAAATCAATACAAAAATTAACAAATAGATAAAATTAATAAATTATGTCATCGATAATAATAATATTACACTACAATACACAGAGAGTTTTCAATCAGTAACAGCAATTTACTGTTTCATTGTATCTGTGCTTAGAGTCATAAATATTTTCATATCTTGCATATCAGCATAACCGAAAGTAAACATGCTCGTTTGCTTCCACGTAAACATGAGCATGAATTAATATCGCTCATACATGATAGATGACTAAACCGTAGAATTAATATGGAAATTAACGCGAATATTAAATTTCGAACAAACTTCACGAGAACCACGGAGTTCGCGCAATTGAAGCATTATAATTTAATCGTTTGGAATATATTGGAAAGAGTTGTATAATCCCCGATCCAGTTTCTCGCACATTTATTCGCATTTATCCAAACCGCATTGATATATGTATGTTCAACACAGCTCTGCCATTACGCTAACTTATGCCCAAGCAGATATTCGTACAATCTAATAGTGAATTATAACTTGTACATTATATCTGTCTAATACACCAAATTTATAATCGAAGAAAAAGAATAATCTTAATAATCTCAGGAAAAAATTAATTATGCAATTTTTCTAGGAAAATACTACAATCATTGCATTTGCACTTTTGACCTTATATTTGAATCGTATCAAACGTTATATACGTGTGTGCTTTTTAATTTCAATTTCAAAAGATGATTTATATTCAACAAGCAATACACAATAATAAACTACGCATTTCAAAGACCATTTAACTAAAACAATTTCTGGTAACACAAACAAATCAAATATAAATTATATTTATTTTTATTTATACGAATAATTAAATGTTCGATAAGAATATAATTTACCTTTTTTTTTTAAATTAATATTATCGTATGATTAATTTTTTAAATCATTATTTTTTTAAAATTAATATTATCGTATCATTAATTTCATATACGCAAGAATAATGCAGTTTCGCGCTTGTACGATGTCAAACTCGTTAATGACACATAAACGAAGCCAAAATTGCAATTACGTTAGCCTTGAAGGTACATACACACGTTGGTAACTTTACAGAAAAGGGTCAAACAACGCCTGGGGTACAAGGGAAACTCATAATTAGATTGTTAGCTAATGGGGACCACCGCATGCAAATAAGTACGCGTGATACTACGCACAAGCTGGCGTAAGGCATTCGAGTGAGACCTTCTCAAACAAGAGAGACACCTCTATCCGAGTCTATTACACATGTGTAAAGAGTGTGATATGACAATATTTCGAGTGAGCAAAATTTGATCAAATAAGTTAACTTCGATATTAAAGAATTACCTGTAATAAATGCCAAATCAAATAAAAAAATGAAAAAAATTATCCAGTTCACTATTATGAGAAAAAAATCCAGATAAATATTTTATGAAAATATATCAGATAAGAATTTACTCGAATATAAATATCCTAAACTTTAATTTTTTTGTAGAAATCTAATTTTTTATAATATTCAAAAAAAATGTGCGTATTTTGATATGTTACACTACTAATTTTGTATATTGTATATATTATATTTCCGATTTAGGATTTAGGGCTTAGATATAATGAGAGAAATACGAAATTAAATATAAAAAATTGTAAAGAATTAAACGGAATTAAGCCCATATCCGACTGCATTGAAGTTTAAAAGATTGAAGATTGAAATATGATCAGAACAAAAAAATTTTAATTCCTTTTTTGTTCGCATTAGTTAAATTCCGATCTTTAAAATCTTCAATCTTTAATACGTAATCTGATGATCTTAAACTCTTTTGTAATCTATATTAAAAACGCGTACGAGAATAGATCGTGATTTAAAAAGATACATAGCAATAATTACAGAGGTATCGAGCAAAAAAAAATTCCGGTGTAATTTAATTAATAAACCGTATCAGATTTTCCCTCGCAACGTACAGCGTTTCTCAAAATGAAATTCTTAAGCTTCGCTATATTAAAATTTGTTATATGAAACACGTCTCTATACAATTTTCAATTTACCTCGCGTTAAACTTATCTCGACATTTGCTCAAGGGTGAAAAGCAAAAAGAATGAAGTGAAAAGTGAGAAGAACAAAGTAAACTTTCAAAAGCATAATCGCATCGTAATAAAAAATATTAACAACAATGTATATTTTTCGTTACATTTAAAAAATAACTGCAAAAACAAAAATTCATCAATCTTCTTATATTTAATTGTATTATTCTTGTCATACATATAAACAAATTCCGTGCAAAGTAATATCGAATTTTAATAATTTCTCAAATGCTATAAATGAAGCAAAATTATTTAAAACAAAATTAGAATTAGAAAAATATTATAGCAATATTATTTATGAATATTAACGATTATTTGTATTTTTAGGTATTAATAAAATTTACCATAATAGTTTACATATGTGAAACAGTGTAAAAAATTTTCTATAAATTCAAACACATTTTTGTCTGAATTTTCAGACCTGGATGTCTGATAGAAATTTCAGATAATCTATCTTAATCATCAGAAAAAAATATAAATTCAATAAATCAGAAGAGAGAAAACAAATAAATAATAACATATTTCATGACTTTCACTCATGTCTAAGAAAACAGAAATACAAATTGCATCTACTATTTCAATATTTTTACAGATACTTGCATTTCGTAATATATCGAAATGTTATGAAAACGGTTATGAATGAAATAAATAGAAAAAAAGAGACAACCGTTACTGGCAAGAATTTCCATTTGCTTCTGATATGTGTCTGTCTTGTCGAACATCGCCAGCCCACTCAACAAAACAATCCGAAAAACAATCAAACGGTAGAAATTGAATATTTGATTAACAATTCTTTCAGTTCACAGTTCTCTATTTCTGACGCGCACTTACGCATCTGCCACGAAGCTGCCGATATATTTAGATACAACCCATCAAATTTAACTCATTGTCAGAATAAATCTCTATTAATCTAACGATAAGACAATGCAAACAAAACAATAACATTGATATACGATTTATTTCTGGATGAAAAATTATAAACATGAGATCCGTATTTTTAATAATCTAAATAATCATAAATGATTATAATAATTTATGACAAAAAAAATAATAATTTAATATAATATCATACAATATATAATTTCCTTTTTGCAATAAATAATATTTTATTTATTACAAAATTTATTAATATCATCGAAAATGTGAGAAAGTTTATAATAGCAAAAAATGCAATTTTATAGTGAATATATAAAGTGTATTTCTATTTCACTCTCATCTCTTAAAAATGTTACACATATACGTTATTTTATTTCATACATCATACGAGAGAGCAAAAAGAGGAAGCGAAAATGCTTCAGAGATGCAGGATTAACAAAGTCAAGATTCACATCCAATACCATTATATCTCGCCAATTTCGTAATTTTAGATGTTATCATATATATATATCCGGATCTTATGGTATTCCTTTCACCTGCTGCTTTAATACGGCATTAGAGAAAGCTAATTGGAATATATACCTGTTGCATCGGATACGCTGCGCTACCGACGAGAAGATCCCATGCCCACGCGAAGATTCGCGCGCAAATGTGCATTGACGTCACCGCCACTTTATAGAGCCTGCTGCCGGCGACTCTCGTCCACGTCCGTTGCCGGGGTTAAGGCGATCTCGCATGCACACAGGACGACGTTTCGGCCAGTCGATTAACGGCACCACCGGAAAAAACCGATCGCGCGATCATATCCTCGAAAATTATCGCACTTCACTCCCGATTCCCACTCCCAAACCCCTCCTATCTGTCATTCACCGCGCGCGCGACTCGCTCACGACGCGAAATTGATCGTCTCTCCGATATCGATCACGGTAATCGGAACGCGGCTACGTGAAGCATCGATTGATCCTTAGACGATCCTTGGCCGACGTTGGCGGTTACGTCAACGATAATGCGATTAATACCGAGAGTCCTTCGAATGATCTCTATCCGATTACGTCGTCGCTCGATTGCACGCGGTCTGGTATCGCCCGGCAAATTTTCCGACGGGGCGTTTAACGATATACTTCGCGGTAATTCACTTTGGAACGTAACATGAAGGCAGCCGTGCGTGCGTCACGCGTGTGGCCACGCTGCGATAAACGTCACTGTGTTCACTTTGCGTCGACTTTCACATCGAAAAAGTTCCGCCCGTTAGATCGTCAATTTAACCGCGCACTCTACATTTTTTGTAATATGATACTCTAAGAGTATCGAAGAAAATGGAAATATTTGTGTGAAATATCTCTCACGGTGTTTCGTTTGCAGGACGAAAAACAGCGACGAATCGCTTCGACACGATGACGGTTTCGCTTCTGCTATACGTACATATATCACAGCCGAATAAATATATTTCGAGATGAAAAGCCGGTGTAACACTATATGTACGTTGTAATAGTCACATATTTTTGTCACCCCGACGCGAGGAAATCACGCGAACGACGTCTCGTTTGCAACCACGGCGCGTACGAACTACTTGTTGATCAGCGCCCCCGAGAACGACTACCGCGCACGATCCGCGTTATACCATGAAGTTGGGGTCAATTCCTATAGGTTAATCACTAGACCTTAATAATTGGCGTAGCCATGGCTACCGTGAATTCAAATTGCTACAGATAAATTAATCTTACTTTTTAACGGCGATAGAAACACCACCGTCACGATAGCTACGGCGTAAAAAATTGAGCTGTCTCGATTATACTGATGAATTAATCTCGATTAATCGTAGAGTAAAACCAACTTGTTCCCGAATTAAAGCGAAAGAATTATAGTATCGAAAAAGCTAGGAAAAAAACGTTATAATTAAAAGAAAAATTATATATACTAAGATAAGTCGCAAAAAAGATAAACGAAATGTCAGAAATATTAATAATTTTTTCCAATCGAGTTTTTCGAATGTAATACTAATGCTAATTACATGGACAACCATTGGACACGGTCATATCGGCGTATAAATGAGAGAGAGAGAGGGAGGCTGTGTGCAGAAAAGATCTCGTCTTCCGATAATCGATAACACGAACGAACAGGAGCCAGCATAAGCGATAGAGATTCGCGACTCGTCGATGCTTTACGGATGCGAAATTTGCGGAACGCGATTTGCGTGGGACGTATGGTGATCCCACCCGGTGCTTCTCGAGATGCTGATCCGGATAGATACCGTGACAACACACCCCGACGAGAGACCGAACGATACTGAAACGTGAAATTGCGCTCGTGCCACCTACACGGGCTAGAGACGCGGTCTCGCGATAAGCATTGCATAGGTGCCAACGTGCAATCGTAAAAATGACATTTGTCAAACCTAGAAGAACAAAAATATTCTACCCGATCGTACATAAATATATAGACATCATGTTTAATTTTATTATTATGTACGCAGTACCATACGTATTATTATATGTATATGTCGTAGCCAGATTACATAATTCGTCGTTTTATAAAACGTCTAGGCATTTTATAAAGTGCAGTCACATTTTCATGTTTGAAAATGAAATATTTTACAATCTGGTTAAGAATTTTAGTTTTTTTATGAAACGCTAACAAGCTATCCGCCACATTGTCAGATACAACGATTTGTACATCGTTTTAGATTCTGGCTGGTTTATTTCAGTCATTTTATGAACTGTCTTTGTATAACAACCATTTATAGAAAATTAATAGGTAATTATGTAATGATATTAATAGTAATTATGTGTATTTTTAAATGAGAAAAAGTTTGTATGAACACTTGTTGTATTTATTACTTATTATATTTATGAATACTTGTTGCATTATAATTGTCATTATAATTATACTTGTTATAATATTAAAGTTTTATAAAAGTAACATAAATAAAATTCTCGAAAATAATGTTTGAAAACAAATAATAAAAAGAAATATGAAAATGAAAAAAAAAGAAAAACATTTATTATGACTATTTTATCAAATGTAACATAAAGTAAAATCGGTAAAAACGCGCCGTTCATAAAATGACTGAAATGAACCAGCCAGAATCTAAAACAATGTAAAAAGACCAAAATTCTTAGCCAGATTGTAAAATATTTCATTTTTAACCATGATTTAAGAATGTGGCCGCACTTTATAAAATGCCTAGACATTTTATAAAACGACGGATTATGTAATCTGGCTACGACATATATATACTTTCAAGCTTAAGTTTAAAAAAGTTTAAAATATATATTCTTTTTTTATCCTATTTTTAATTTATGTGAATTAAATGTTTAAATAGTTTCGTTTAAAATTTAACTACCTAGTATTTTGGTGTTCGTTTATATGCACATAAAAGAACTTTGGATATTATTTAATACTTGTCTTCCTTCAAATAATCTCAAAAAGTCAATTAAAAATGAATTTCGAAATGAGATGATAATTGATGTCAATATTTCTATTAAACATTAGTTTATTAATTTTACAAGAGCAGCTAATAATACTTAATGTTAATAATTGGTTTTGATTTATGTCAAGAAAGAAAAAAGTTAAGTTCATAACATTACAATAGATTGAATTTAATTAAATTAGTTGAATTAATTAATTAAATAAAATATATTCACTCTTCGATTATCTTATGTGAATACTTTTATGTATTGTATAGTATATATATTTGAATAAAAAATAAATAAATTGAAACAATATTGCTTTAATATAAAACAATCCAATTTTTTACAACTCTCGTATAAATATTGTATAATACAAAACGGCTGTAAAAAACCGTCGCCTTCGTTGCCAGCTTAGTCGAAAGTAGAAAGAACCTCGTTGGTAGAAAGAGGACAGAAAATAGTATATATCTCTTCTTCTATTATCCGAAACTAGCCGAAGCGCCGAGCTCACATATACGTGGTTTTCGCTTGTGCGTTATCCCTTCCACAATTGCGTGTTGCAATCATAGATTATATGATATAGACCAATCATAGACCTTATATATATTTGATTGCAACGTGTTGTTGGCATCACTGGCCCTAGTAGGAGCAAAGAGAAGCCTGAGAAGGGCGACGCCGCTGTTTTTCGTGAGACCATTTTCCTAGCTGGTATAGTGGCGCTAACTAGATCCACTTTAGAGCCGGCGGAACTACATGGCCAGATCCTCTTTTTGATGCCATGGTAAAACGACCGATTGGTGCATGTCCGTGCTAAACACATTGTGGATCAAAAATACACCGATACACATTAAAAGCTATTATAGACAAATTTATATAAGCATAATTAATTATATTTTCTTATAGTTTTAACCGTGTTCTATTATTTTGTAAATAGTTCTAATTGTTGACAGCGTTAATTAATTTTTTCACGTTTATATGATCGCCGGTGATACTATCAGCTGTCAGATTTTCGCAAAATGTCATAAAATGTCAAAAAATCGCCATATCTTGTGCAATATTGTTTTTTTAAAGTGTTAAGAGTGTTTTTTCTATCATGTGGAATTCCATTCGAAATTTTAATTAAAAGGTCGGAAATGCAAAAATAATACTTTTCTCAGAACATTTAGATATGTATTTATACGACATTAATTTCAAAAACGATTAAAACTTCCTTCTCTCTATTATTGTCTTTTTCACTTCCATTTTATTTAAAAATATTAATATAAAACAAGTAGAGTTGTGCAAATTAGAAATTTGCACATTGCTTCCTCATCATTTTATCTTACAAAGCTTAAGCTGCTTTAAGCATGCAGATTTTTCAATTTTTGCTTTCTCATAAAGGAAGCTTTGTGAGCGAAATAAAAATAAAAATGATTTCTTTCAACGATCCTCACTAAATTCAATATCAAACATCCTTTAATAATACTCTATTCATGTAAAAAAATTTAATCCAATATCTCAAATTTTCCGAAAGTTATAGCGTGTACAGACATTTCTCAAAAAATTCAAAATTTTATAAAAAATAAACCCTTTCATCGATACTCACCAAATTCAGTAGCAACCATCCTTTAATAATACTTTATCCATGTAAAAAAATTTAACCTGATATCTCAAAATTTGCGAAAGTTACAATGTATACAGACATTTCTCAAAAAATTAAAAATTTAATAAAAAATGAACCTTTTCATCGATTCTTACCAAATTAAATACCAACCATCCTTGAACGATACTCTATCCATGTAAAAGAAATTTAACCCGATATCTAAAAAATTGCGGAAGTTAGAGGTTGTACAATATATTGCGTACATACACACATACATACATACACGCATACACACATACACACATACATACATACATACAGACATTTTTTAGGAATATGATTTTTCGACGTTTTGGAACATTCTAAACACATTGGCATAGAAAATTTGAAAAAAATTTTGTCACGAAAACAAAGCTTCCTCTATGAGGAAGCAAAATATAACTACAATATCTCTCTTAGTCTGACTCTTCCCCTTCGACCTGTCCGGCATGGGTGATCCTACCGGTAACTTATTAGCATTTTTGAATGAAACAAGTTTAATCGCTTTGAGAGCGATTAAACCCAATTTACGATGAATATATGTTTGATATCAATCAAACGCTTAGTGCAAGTATTCATTGATTAATCTAATAATCCAAATACTAAAATCCAAGACAGAGTTTGAGTTTTATTCATCAATCGGTTTCAGAGCGATCAAACTTGCTTCATTCGAAAACGCTATACGTTACCGCCGGCATAGCTCTCAGGTTCATTAGAGTACGCAAACCTCCTCACCCGGCAAATGCCTTCGTTAAGGTAGAGATACCATCGAGAAAAAATGTGTGAGGATATTGAGTGATATTTTTTTCAAATTAATTTATTAAAAACTGCGCCTGTAATCTTCTTTTCGCGAGCCGCCTCAGAAAATGTTTTTTTTCGTGACGACCATCCTAACTAATCTCCGGGTAATCTGAAACAAAAAAACAAAGTAGGATATAATCCTCATATGTGTGGCTATCGCGTGTTCTAGGATAAAGCAAAACAAAAAATTAGAAATTTAAAAAATGTCGTTCAGAACAATAAACATCGATTTTTCGGCTAAAATTGGCCATATTTTTTGCAATAACAAAAAGAGTACAAGTTGTAATAAAATAATCCTAGTTCATATTAAAAAGGGTCTTATGTTCTATATTTTCTAAAAACTTGAAGTTAATCGGACTATCCGCTCCCGAGATATCATGGTCGCAAGGTGAAAAAATGTTGTTTCGAGAAAAACGCGTTTAAAGTTTTAAATACAATTAACTATAAAATTTCAAATACTTACAGCTGTTTGCTGCTAGCCAGCTATTCCAGGGCCATAAAGTAGATCTTCCTCTTCTTCATAAAAGGCCTTTAATTTTGTTGACTCGTCCTTTCCTGCGATTCAATTATTCTGTGTCCATGTAATGCATTAACGATTATTTCCTCGCCATGCGACGTCGCCAGCTTTGTCGCTGACGTACTAGCAAATTCCGTCTCTTTTTCGAGAATGTGTCTATTGTCGACGAATTTTCTTTTTCTCGATCTGCTTGGACGGTGATTATCATGACGTCTTGTCGATTTTCGATCCATTTTTTACATAGCTATACAGCTAACAGCTACA